CCCACCCCCCAGCCCTGCCCTCAGCCCGATGCCGGGGGTCGCGGTGGTCCAGGGTCCCCTGATCCCCTCGCCAGCCCCCTCCCCACAACCGGCGCTGCCCGCTTTGGTGCCTCAGAGACCCCCCCCAGGGGAGGTCCCGTTCCAGAGGCCGAGCTCCTCCAGCGAGGACCTGCTGTCCTCCAGCCCCGAGAGCCAGCCGGGGGGCTCCAAGGCCGCCGTGGGGCAGCCCCTGCTGCAGCCCACCCGGGCGGACGCGGCCGAAGGGCAGAAGCCCCGAGCGGTGCAGCTGATCGAAGAGGATCCCTACGAGAAACCAGAGCGTGTCCTGAAGCTGCTGGAAGAGCTGGAGCGGTTCCGAGGGGCCGTGGGGAGGCTGGAGCAGGCAGGGGAGCTGGAAGGGGTGTGGAAGGAGCTGCAGGAGGCGCAGGAACGGGACGCCCGGCAGTTCAGCATCGCCATCGCCCGCTGCTACTCCATGAAGAACCGGCACCAGGACATCATGCCCTACGACAGGAACCGCGTGGTGCTGCGCTCTGGCAAGGATGACTACATCAACGCCAGCCGCGTGGAGGGGCTGTCCCCCTACTGCCCACCCCTCAGCACCACCCAGGCCCCGCTCCTCGGCACCGCTGCCGACTTCTGGCTCATGGTCCATGAGCAGAAGGTCTCGGTCATCGTCATGTTGGTGTCCGAGCAGGAGCTGGACAAGGTGAGACCCCCCCGGGGTGTGAAGGAGGGGGTGGGTGTTCAGCCTGGAGAAGAGAAGGCTCCAGGGAGACCTGAGAGCCCCTTCCAGTGCCTGAAGGGGCTCCAGGAAAGCTGGGGAGGGGCTTGGGACAAGGGCAGGGAGGGATGGGAGCAGGGGGAAGGGTTTCCAGCTGGCAGAGGGAGCTGGAGCTGAGATGGGAGGGAGAAATTCTGGGCTGTGAGGGTGGGGAGAGCCTGGCCCAGGTTGCCCAGGGAAGCTGTGGCTGCCCCATCCCTGGGGGTGTTGAAGGGCAGGTTGGATGGGGCTTGGAGCAGCCTGGGCTGCTGGGAGGTGTCCCTGCCCATGCAGGGGTGGGACTGGATGAGCTTTCAGGTCCCTTCCCACCCAAACCTTTCCATGACTAGAAGGCTGCAACATCCCTCTCCTCCCGTGCTGGTGTCACCTCCATCCCCTGCTGGCAGCCAGGGAGGGACAGGACAGTCCCAGGGTGGGGGTTTCAGGACTCCTGACATATTCCCTGCCCCTCCCACAGCAGAAGGTGCTGCGGTACTTCCCGGTGGAGCGGGGCCAGCCCGTGGTGCACGGACCCATCACCCTGGTGCTCACCAGCCTGAAGGTCACCCCCACCCACGTGGAGAGGATGGTGACCCTGCAGTACCGCGACCAGAGCCTCAAGCGCACCGTGGTCCATCTCCAGTTCACCTCCTGGCCAGAGCTGTATGGCGTGGGGGGGGCTGGGGGGGTCCTGCTACACCTGGGGGGGGGCAGCTGGAGACCCCCAAGTGCTGCTGAGCCTCAGGGCTGCAGCCCTGGGAGGGGGTTGGGGCAGTTCCTGGGGGGTGG